TTCTTTAAACAAGTCTTGCCTAGGCACCTGAGCCAACCAAGCACAATCCTCAGAGCTGGGGCACTGGCCCTTTGTGTAGCTAGCAATGAGCGGCCGGGAATTCACACCAGCCTCTGCTCCAGGGGGACCCAGGCCCCGAGCCAGGCAGCTCCTGGAGCAGGCCGGGTCTTCTGAGCGCCAGGCAGGGTGTCACAGGTGTGGGGCATGAGCTGAGTGATGCTGAAGCAGCCTTGGGGCTGCCCCCACAGTCCCACAGGCCAGAAACCTTGAGTAATGGAATCCCAGGTCTTGGGGGCTGCTGGGGACCAGATGACAGGCCAAAGCAGGAAACCTAAAAACAGTCCTCGTTGCAGTAAGGGTCCTGTAGGGAGTGGAACAGCTCTGTCCACTGCCAGAGCAGGAACAGGGAAGGGGGAACCCAGAGGTGGGGAGCCTGGGGGACAGCTACCCCCCTCCAGGCCACTTTGTTGCTACTTACAGAGACCATGCCCAGTTGATCTGATCTTGAGGAACCTTTCATTTCCGGGGTGAATCCCACCACCCTGCTACTGGCCAAAACCTATTTCCATAGCCAGTGGTCTCCACCATAATTATTTTAGTCCACCAGTCCACTTGGTTTACTGGACCTTTGCCCCCTGAGGACAGGGATGCTGTCCACCTTGGTTCCTAGCCAGGCCCAGATGGGCACCCAGAGGTTGCTGATTCAATGACCCTCCCGTCAGGACCCGTCCTCCGTGTTGCCTTGTGGAGCGCTGTCCGCACCTGGGCAGGTAGGTGGCGCCCGGAGCATGAGGGAAAAGGAGGGCAGAGGTCTGGGTTAGCGCCCCCTTCGACATTCACGCCCGCCCACCCTGATTCAGCGCCAAGCCGGGAGGCGGCGGCGACCTCCTCTCCCCGGCGTCCCGGTGGCGTCACCGCATCCCGGGCCAATCCGCTCTGACGTGGCGGTCGAGGACGGGAGTGGGGGCTGCGCGGGCGCCCACACCCACCCTGAGCGCGGCCCCCCATCGGCGGCATGAGCGCGCCGGAGCCCCCGCCCGCGGCGCCTGCCGAGCCCCCCGCCCCCCCTGCGCCCCCCGAGCCCCCCGGGGCCTTGCGCGCGCTGCTTTTGGCCACCGGCGGTGTGGGGGGCTCCTGGCCGCGCTGCGTCCTGCCGTTTGGCGTCGTGACCCTGCTGGCCGGCGCCGCCGCCACGGCCATCACCTTCTCGCTGCGCGGACCCCACCTGGACCTGGAGCAGGGCGTGGCGCTGACCACGCTGGGCGCGGGCCTCGGGCTCCTGGCCGCCGCCTTCCTGTGCTGGCGCGCCCGGCGGCAGCGGCGGGCCGGGCGCGCGGGGCGGCGGGAGCCGGGGACGTCCTGAGCCCGCGCGCGCGCGCGGCCCCCTCTCCAGCGAAGTCACCGGGAGCCAGACGCCTCCTCTCTCCGGACCTCGCCCCGCCGGGGCGCGCAGAGCACAGCGAGCGGGACGCGAAAGCCCCCTCCCCAGACCGTTCCTTCCTAAGCCCTTAGGAAGCCAAGGGGGTGGGAGCTACGAGCCATTTCCCTCTGCTCTTCGGACTCGCCTCTCCCCACTCCTCCCAGCGTTGCTTTTCAGCGTTCTGCTTGGCGCGCAGAGTCGATCGCCACCGCGGAGAGGGCCTGCGTGGCACGGGGGCCCTGCCTGGGGAGCAAGGTGGGGGATGGCCGCGGACTCGGCGGGTCCACCCTCCTGGGGTGAAGCAGACCGTGCTCCCCTCCCCATGCCATCTGTCTTCCCTGCTCTGTTGGAAGTCCCTCTTGGCATAATAGACGCTCAATAAATGTTTGTGTGAAATGTGTACAAGTGGTGGCTTGCAAAGGTCTGGACGGAACAGTATGTCCTGGGCTGGGCCAGGAGTGTTGGGTCAGTTCGCCTGACAAGGAAAGACCCCAGGCGCCTGAGGCCTGGGACTGTCTGGTCCCCTGGGTCCTTTTCTCCCTGGACAGGTTCTCTGTGTGCCCCCAAAGCCAGCAGCTGTCATTCTGACTGGGGGTGGGAGTGGACTGACAAGGTGCATGGGGAGGGGGGGTGAGAGGGCGGGGTCTCCTCTAAGGTGCCAGGATGGACCAGGACCAGCGGAGAAGGGTGAGAGGCCCCAGAGGCTGGGGACAGGTGGCACAGTCCACAGGACTGAGTCCAGCAATGAGCCCAGACTGGGGGCTGCAGAGAAGGCCCTCCCTCACTCTCATCAGGCCATCTGCCAGGGCCATCCTTAGGGGCCAGAAGAGAATGCGTTCAGGGGGCCATTCTGGGGGAAGAGGCGGGGCTGCCTGCAGCCTCCTCCCTGGGGAGGTGGTGGTACTACAGCCCTCTGGGCCCAGAGCTTTCTGCTTGCTAACACCGACCAATGCTCTGAACACTCGTGCACGCAGCAGGCTGAGCCCTGAGGGCCTCCTTCCACCCACACCAGAAACCACCAGATGTTCTGCAGACCTTAGCCCCAACTCCTGGGAAGGCTGGGCTGCAGACAAAGCCTGCAAGTCTGACGCAGGGTTGGAGGGGAGGCTGCCCCCCGATTTCCTTTCTTCCCTCCTGCGTCTTGAACTCCAGACAGCCAGGGGCTCCCTGGAGGCTCGTCTCGGGCTCTGTGGAACCCTCGTGTTGGGCCTGGGCATCTCTCCCCACTGCGGCCAGCTAGTCACCCCTTAGCTCCTAACGGTCCCGGAAGGATCTGTCGCAGCCGGTAATCTCTTGCCAGGGGCTCACTCTCCCCAGGCTGGGTTTGAGGCTGTTGATCAGAAAGACCTCGAAGAGCGTGGCTGGGAAAATGCCGTTTTTGAACTTGACTCATGCTGGAGCAGACTGGGCTCTGGGTCAGCGCCCTCATTTGTCCACGGCTATCTGTTGTAAGGGGAACGTTTTTTTTATCTCGAAGTTGAGATTAGGTGCCATGGCACCTGGGGCAGAGGGGACCCACCGACCCAGCAGCCCTGCTGCTGCCAAAAGCGAAGGGAGAGAAGCCAGCAGCCCCTCTGACTGGATTCTTCCCAAGCCTCCCATGATCTCATCAGCCCCTGCACCCCCCCACCCCTGCATTTGTGAGGGCCTGACCAGAAAGTGCTAGTCACTTCAGGTGTCCCATCACCCTATCTTCCTGGCTGCTCCATCCTCTTCTCTTCTGGTTTCCCTTGGGAGGCTCCAGGGTCCCCCTGTCCCTACTCTCCTATACAGCAAGAAGATACTGCTTCTCTCTACCTTCTTCTTGTAGAAGAGGCAGCTCCGCCAGCCCAGACGGATCCACATGGCAACCTCCATCAGCTGCTGGGCCTGGCCTGAACTGAAACTTCTCACACTTTCTCCCATGTCACACACGTTCCCGTGTTCCCTGGCCCCTCTGCATATGCAGCCAACTCTTCCCGCTGGGCCCCCTCCATCAGGGGCTTACTGGTTCTGGGGAAGTGGTCTCTATCCGGAGCCATTCTGGTCTCTCTTGACTGGGTCATTCTCCGCTGCAGCTGCCCCATCCCCAGCTGGGGCCCAGACTGCCCGGCTGGGTTCCTGCCTCAGTTTCTCTACTCAAACCTGCCAGCATGTGGTCCAGGCTCAGAGGTTCTGACATGTGACCAGGCCCTCCCCATGGGCCCAACTCCACTCCCAAACCTCTACAGGGGTCCTCGACTGCTGACCAAGAACCCGAACCCCACGGGATCCAGTTAATTAGTGGGCTCCCCTGCCCCAGCTTCTGCTTCCTCCCTGCCACCTCTAGGGGCTGGCCCCATCTCGGTGATGCAACTAGATGGAGACCCAGAGATGCTGTGGGACACGAGTTCGGCCTGATCTGGGTGGCATATGCCAATTTCATTACTTAGGCGAGCTCCAGTCAGACGGGGAGGACACATCCTTCCTGAACATAAAGCAAGAAGGACTCAAGGCTGTGGAGTCCCTCCCTGGCTGCATCCAATACCTTTGCAGCTCGTCAACCCCCCCTCCCGCCCCCACCACCAAAGGCTCAGCAAAGTTGAGTAACAGTCTGATGAAAAAAACTAAATCTCAGGTTAAGGAGCCTGAACCACAGAGCCAGAAATTGGAGCAGCTTGGTTTCAAAATCAGACCTGGTCCCAATTGTGGGTTTTTTTCTACTGGAGCCGACCACTGCTTGGGGACATCCCATAACCACCAGCCCTGCTTGGCTGCTACAACCCTGAGTGTTCCCTGTAGAGACCCAAGGGAGCATCAGGGCACCAGCCTTCAGATGGAGGGCCCAGCCTGCCAGATGGGTCTGAGGGAGGAGGCGGCCAGACCCCCGCCCAGCACGTGGCACAGCCCCAGGAGCAGTCAGGGCCTGGATGCAGGCCGGGGACCCTGCTGGGTGGTCCCCAACGGGCTGCGTGGCTGAGCCGCCCCCTCCAGACCCCTCCCGCCGGCGCATTCCTGGCTCCCCGGCCCCTCCCCCGGTTCCCGGGCCTCCCAGCCCCCTCCCCCGCTGGCCCAGCCAGTGTCTGAATCTGCTTCTGATTCCGGCTCTGCCGACGAGGCCCCCTCCCCTCCCCTCCCTCCTTCCCCGGCCCGAGCAGCCCCGCCCCCGGCTGGGCCCAGGCTTGCGCCTACTGCGCCCCCCACCCCCTCCTGGCACAGCTTGCCCGCCCTCGCTACAGCCGGGAGGAGGCGGCGGCCTGGGCGCCCGAGGCCCCGCCCGCCCTCGGCCCTTCCCGGGAGGCCGGGAGACCTGCTCGACCCGGCCCTCGGTGGGTGAGTGCAGCGGCGGGCGACGGGTGGGGCCTCCGCGGGCGGAGGCGCCGGGAGCTGGGGCGACTCCTGTCAACGCTCCAGGCCCAGCGGGAGGACGCGCCAGCATCCCCGCTGTTGCGCTTGGCCCGGGGCGTGCCCGCGGCTGCTCCCACCTCTTGGCCTCGGCTGGGGCCGCCCGGCATTGCGCGGCATTGCGGGCCAGCGGGCAGAGCCTCGGATCCGGGCTCTTTCCCCCCGAGGGCAGCGGCGTGGGGCCCGGCGGGCTGGCTGATTCACCGCGGCTCCGGCCATGCCCGGCTGGCCCTGGGGGCTGCTGCTGACCGCGGGCACGCTTTCCACCGCGCTGAGCCTGGGGCCGCCAGCGCCCGCCGACCCCTGCCATGACGACGGGGGTGCGCCCCGCGGCTGCGTGCCCGGCCTGGTGAACGCCGCCTTGGGCCGCGAGGTTCTGGCGTCCAGCACGTGCGGGCGGCCGGCCACGCGGGCCTGTGATGCCTCGGACCCGAGGCGGGCACACCCGGCCGCCCTCCTGACCTCGGCGGGGAGCACCACAAGCCCTGTGTGCTGGCGTTCGGATTCACTCACGCAGGTGCCCCACAATGTGACTCTCACAGTGCCTCTGGGCAAGGCTTTCGAGCTGGTGTTCGTGAGCTTGCGCTTCTGCTCTGCGCCCCCGGCCTCGGTGGCCCTGCTCAAGTCACAGGACCATGGCCGTAGCTGGGCCCCACTGGGCTTCTTCTCCTCCCGCTGTGGCCTGGACTATGGCCGCCTACCTGCCTCTGCGGACAGCCCACCTGGCCCAGGGCCTGAAGCTCTGTGCTTCCCTGAGCCCCAGGTCCAGCCTGATGGCGGTGGCCTTCTGGCTTTCAGCGTGCAGGACGGAAGCCCACCAGGCCTGGATCTGGACAGCAGCCCAGTTCTCCAAGACTGGGTGACTGCCACAGACATTCAACTAGTGCTCACAAGGCCTGCCGTGCTGGGGGACACCAGGGACTCCGTGGCCATGGTCCCTTACTCGTACTCAGCTACTGAGCTCCAGGTGGGCGGGCGCTGCAAGTGCAATGGGCATGCCTCAAGGTGCCTGCTGGACACCCAGGGCCACCTGATCTGCGACTGTCAGCATGGCACCGAGGGCCCCGACTGCGGCCGCTGCAAGCCCTTCTACTGCGACAGGCCATGGCAGCGGGCCACGGCCCGGGAAGCCCACGCCTGCCTTGGTGAGGCCTTGGAGGGTGGCCTGGGGATCCTGGACCAGGCCAGCCTGCCCCTGACCCATCCCTTCCTGCAGCTTGCTCCTGCAACGGCCATGCCCGCCGCTGCCGCTTCAACATGGAGCTGTACCGACTGTCCGGCCGTCGCAGCGGCGGCGTCTGTCTCAACTGCCGGCACAATACCGCAGGCCGTCACTGCCACTACTGCCGGGAGGGCTTCTATCGCGACCCTGGGCGTGCCCTGAGTGACCGCCGCGCTTGCAGGGGTGAGCATGCCACCAGCTACCTGCACATCTTCACCTTCTCGTTTCCTGCATTCCCACATGGGCTTCTAACCATCCTGTCTCTGTCCTCAGCATGTGACTGTCACCCTGTTGGTGCCGCTGGCAAAACCTGCAACCAGACCACAGGCCAGTGTCCCTGCAAGGACGGCGTCACCGGCCTCACCTGTAATCGCTGCGCCCCTGGCTTCCAGCAGAGCCGCTCTCCAGTGGCCCCCTGTGTTAGTGAGTGACCTTGCCCTTCTTCCTTCAGCCACCTCAGCCAAGGCCACCCACGCCAGCTCCCTGCTGGTACCGGCTTGTCCCCTGAGCCCTCCCCGCACATGGTCCCTCTTCAATGCAGGCCGTTCTTTCATCCTGTTCACAGAGACTCCTGCCCCTGGACCCACTGAGGAGAGCAGCCCTGTGGAGCCCCAGGGTGAGTGGACCCAGAACAAGGTCCCAGATTGGCATGAGCGTGGGGGAAGGCTATGGGTTCAAGGAGGGGAAGAGGAAAGGGTGGGGTAGGGAGGTGAGGATTCTGTGCCAGCCTCCACACCCCCTCCAGACTGCGACTTGCACTGCAAACCAGCCCGGGGCAGTTACCGCATCAGCTTGAAGAAGTTCTGCAGGAAGGACTACGGTAGGCTCCTGCCCTCACCCTCTCGCCTTGCTCTTTTCCCTCTCTGGGCCTCCCACCTCCCACTATCGCTGCCCCTGCCCTGTCAGCTCCCGGTGGCCTCTCGATGCCCACCCCCACCCCAGCGCTGAGTGCCCCCCACCCGGTTCGGTCCCTTTCGCGCCCCCCGCTCCCCACACCGCGGGCGCGCAGTGTTCCTTCGCACCGCCCGCCCCCTCACGGCTCCGCCCCACTTGACCCCGCCCCCTCTCTCCCTCCCCGCAGCGGTGCAGGTGGCGGTGGGAGCGCAGGGCGAGGCGCACGGCTCGTGGACGCGCTTCCCGGTGGCCGTGCTTGCAGTGTTCCGGAGCGGCGAGGAGCGCGCGAGGCGGGGAAGCAGCGCGCTGTGGGTGCCCGCGCGGGACGCGGCCTGCGGCTGCCCGCGCCTGCTGCCGGGGCGCCGCTACCTGCTGCTCGGCGGCGGGCCAGTGACCGCGGTCGGGGGCCGAGGGCCCGGGCTCAGCGCGACCCGCGGGAGCCTCGTGCTGCCTTGGCGCGATGCGTGGACGCGGCGCCTGCGGAGGCTTCAGCGGCGTGAGAGGCGGGGTCGCTGCGGGACTGCCTGAGCCCAGAGCGCGGGCGGGGCGTTGCCTCCACATCGAGGCGCACGTTCATCCAGTGCATCCGCACGCAGAGGAGTCTTTGCTGGCGTCGCGCGCTTCGCCATCCAGGCCCTCCCCCGACCGTGCCCAGCGACTCCCTCGATGCCATGCGCCCATGCCTGCGAGGGCTGTGACGGACTCAGCGACACCCCGCCCCGACAGAGAGGGATGTGATGGCCCCAAAGAGCTGCTTCGAGGCTCCCTTGGGCAGCTGCCATCCCATCCTCGCATTATCTTCCCCCTCCCAGGGACACTGCGATCGTCCCAGAAGGCTGGGAGCGCCCTGGGGGGCCGAACTACACTTCGAGGCTCTGCGAACACCCTAAGGGCCGCTGAGACTCTCCCACCTGCGATGCAGTGACCCCTCAGAGCGCATTTTCAGCTTTCTAAAAGGCACCGTGACCCTCTCCCAACAGATACGAACCCCCTTGTGATGCCAGGACCCACCTACGGTCTGAAAACTCCCCAAGGGCTGCGGGGGCTTCAACCCTCACGGACTCTGATCTCCACAGACGCCCGTGGACCCCCGTGGGGCTCGGGGGCACTGGCTCCCCCGCCCCCTGCCGGGACCCGCAGAGGGCGCTGTGACTCCTCCCCCAGCGAGGACGACCGCCTCCGGTCCCCGTCTGCCCGCCTGTCACCTCCGCCTGCCCTGCCTCTGCCGCTTGGGCGTCCGGGTCCCTGTCCCCGCTGCGTCTCTGCCTGAGTTCGGCCCCTTTCTTGGCCTGCTGTGTCCCTATGCTGTCTCCATCCGGCTGTCTCTCTCGGCCTCGGCCTCAGGGATCCTCAGGTCAGGTCCCGCCCGTAGGATCCCCTGCGCACCCTCTCCGCCTGCTCGGGACCGGACGTCGTGTCCACGCAGACGAGCGTTCCCCGGTCTACGCGTGACCCGGCGGGGCGGCGACTCTGGCTGGCAACCCTCTCGGTTTCGGACGCCCCCAGCCTTGCCTTTGTTGGGACCCCGCATCCCCCGCCCACTCGGCTTGCGCCCCTCAGCGCAGGGACCCGATTCTGGCCAACGCCGGCTCCCGCGGCCTGGAGGCAGGGCGCCAGCGCGCATGCCCAGAGCCCGCCGCGGCCGAGACCCGCGGACGCCCGGGGTGGGCAGCCGGCGGCGCGTGCTCGGCGGGGGCGGGGCCGCGTGCGCGCGTGCGCAGAAGGGCCCGCGCTCAGTCGCTCGGCCAGCTGAGGAGAAGCGGCGCGGCGCGGCGCGGCGGGCGGAGGTGGGTGCGCGGTCGGCTCGGCGGGCGGGGGGCGTGACGGCCCGGCGCTGTGCCGGGTCGCCGGCTGTCACCGCGGCGGGGGCGTGCTGAGGGAGGGGACGTGGGGCAGGGCTGCGGGGCCTCCGTCCGAGGCGGGGCGCTGGGGCCGGCAGTGGCGCGGGTAGGGGTCCGGACCCCGTGCGCCCGGGGCCAGCGACCATCCGCCTGGCCCTGCCCGCCCTCCCCGGGCTGGGCCCAGCGGACCGAGCGCCGGGCGCGAGGGGCCCAGGGCAGGGGCCCATCTCAGCCCCGCCCGACGCCCACCGCGGGGGCAGGGCCTACGCCCCCCCTTCCCCCCACCAGCCGAGGTCCGTGGTCGGCCCAGGGCGAAGCGTCGGAAAGAGCTGTTCCTGTGTCACTCTTTTCTCGGGGCACTTTCCGGTTCTGCGGGGTAGGAAATCCTCTCCTGGACTCGAAATTGCAACAGATTCTCTGATAACGTTCTGCCCTTGAAGACCTGCAACTGCTCTCCTCTGGGCCCTCTGCCTGCCCCCCGAGGACCCGCCGCCCACCTGCCGCCCAGGTACCTGTCTGCCCAGCCTCGGAGCCCTTGGCCCGGCTGCTGTGCCAGGCGGCAGCCATCCTCCAGGCCTTGCCGGGGGAAGGGAGCGTTTCGGCAGGGCCCCTGGTACTGTGCTTTCCGAGCCTTGAGTAGGCACAGCTGGAGGTCGGGCACAGGCTGCACCCGGTGTGGGTTTTCTTTGGGCAGGGGTGCTGGTGGCCTGGCTACAGGTTTTCATTGATGACCTCACTCCATACAGGGACAGACGCTGTGGGGTTCCTGGAGTGCCACTGGCTGGGCTGACATTAAAGGCTAAAGGTTGTCTAAGAGCCACCTGGGCTATGGGGAGGCCCAGGTAGACTGTTACGATAGCAGCGTGCACGGGAGCCGCAGGCCTGGTGGCCAGTAGCTCTGTGGCTATGGTGGTGATGCTGGCGTTCTGGTGTTTGCCCATTTTCTTATTCCTAGTCGGGAGTCTTTCTGCCTTCCCGGGGTCAATAGAGGCACTCGAAGCTGGTTTTCATTATTTCGATGTATATTTGGTCAGGTGTCAGAGGGCGAATTACAAAAAACAAAAAACACCCCCTCTGCCCGCTCCAAAACCCCATTATTCCACAGATGTAGCTGTTTCCTCCACTTGAGGATGAGGACTCGCACCAGATCCCTGTAACTGTTTACCTAATTGTCCTGGAGCCAAGCGTGCAGGTCCTATTCATTTGAAGGGGTACGGGCTTTGAGAAGCAAACCCAAGTAAGAAAAGTTCAGGGAATCTCACGAAGGTTTTGCCCTTAGCCCTAGCCGGGGGTGCAGCCCCTCACGTGCTTCTTTTGCTCTGAAGGTTGGTCCTCCACTAATCTTCTCAGCCCTCAGATTAAGTCTTTACGTGAAGCGCTTCTCGGGTGCGAGTGGTCTGTTTGGAAGCTTGTCTCTCCCCGTGAACAGGGTGAGAGCCGCGTTACGTTCATCTTTGCTCCCTTCTTAGTGTCCGGCATGGAGGGAGCAGGCGGGTATCTCTGAACAGCTGTTGAAATGAACCGAGGTCCCGAAGCTAGCGCAGTAATTCCCTTCTGGGTTAAGGGTGACCTTCGGGGAACGGAGACGTCACCTGGACAGGCTTCTCATAACAGCAATAAAATTCACCCCCCGAGTCTGCAGGTTCACCTGCAGGTGGGCCCCAGCGCACCTGCCAGGACCGTCCAGCAGGCCAAGTGACCTTGGGTACACCGTGTTGCTCCTAATTCCAGTTGTGGTCTGAGCCAACCTCAGAAGACATATTTAAGTGTTTGCTTTTAGATGGTTTCTGGTTTGAAGTACGTAAGAACAGCAAAGCAGGTTATAAAAAAGCACTTAACGTTTACCCTGTTCAATGTTTTACCCGTTGAGGCATACCTTTCCTGTTATGACAGCTCTGTCCGTGGAGAAAGAAGCCCTTTTCAACTCAAAGCCGCAGTTTCAGTGGCTGTTGCAAGTGTCACTTTCCAAATGGAGATAATATCAAAGGGGGAAAAAAACACCTCAGGCATTTTATTAAGAATCCACTTGAATTCTTTATTCGGTGCTTTTCATTATGCTTCTAACACAAATTTATCGAGGTCCTACTGTCCTTGGTACAAGGAGGCTCTATGCGGGAGACCGTGTGCCGGAGCTGGCCGCACGGGGACGAGGGGGCCGCTGTGTGGGGCCGGTGGGGGGGAGCAGTAGCCTCTGGCTGTGCAGAGGGGAGAGAGCAGTAGCCTCTGGCTGCCCTTCCGTAGGGATTCCTAGGAAGGACTTGAGCTAAATTTTCACAAAAGAATAGATGTGGCGAGGCCGTGTGAGGGAGAGAGGCTTCTGGGCAAAGGGACCATGCGTGTGCGGAGAGAAAGGCCTGATGATCTCACACCCTGTAGTTGAAGGAAGGGCCTCGGGAGACCCCGGAGGTCGGGGAAGGTGAGGCTGGTGGCAGACTGGGAAAGAGGGTTTGAGTTCCAGGCTCAGGTTTGAACTTGACCCCGAGAGCGGTGGGAAGCAAGCCCCCAAGGGGTCTCGGGTTTGTGAGTGGCTGACGTGATCGTCCTCTCCGTGGGGGACCGGGCAGCGGTAGCTGTGTTGGGTGGTGAAGGCCTGCACTGAGTCAGAAGCCGTTAAGGGGCCACAGAAGCCTCCCTAGCCAGACGTAGGCCCAGCGCAGAGGAAGGGTGCCGGGGGACAGAAAGGAGAGAGGGACCGTGGGACAGGCAGCTGCAGGGAGGGGAAGGGCCGGGGAGAAGGGAGGCGTAAGGAACACTCCAAGAGTGGGTGACAGCCGTTGGCGGCTGCATGCCACACACACAGGGTGCTGGAAGGAAGCTGGTTTGGGGGAAGGTGACAACTTCCGGTGTGGAGATGTCGAGCTGAAGGTCAGTAAGGCTTCCCGGTGGGAGGTGGATGTACATTAGTCTAGAGCCAGGGAGAGCGTCCTGGGCTCCAGAGCGTTCGCAGGACTCCTTCCAGTGGTGCTGAAGCCGCAGGGACTGGGGTGGGCCTCCCAGGGCTGTGTGTGGAGTAAAGCGAGAGAAACCTGGAGGGGTCTGAAGTTTTATGTCCGTACAGGAAGAGGGTGAGCAAGGGAATGGAAGTCTGATTCCTAAGCCCTTGCCTTGGGGCCTGGGGGCAGGATCATGGGGTTCTTCTTTGTCACAGGGCTCCAGTTTGTTGGTTAGAGTAAACAGCGAAATGTAAGATCCTCAAGGTGCAAAATCAGATGATTGATGCCAGGGGCCTTCCTGTCTCATGGCTTTATGTGCCTTTTGGGAAACCCAGATTGTCACTTATCTCAAAGGATCCCGTTTCCCTCTAGACCAGGGGTTGGTCCCCTCAGAGCAATCTTAGTTAGATCTCTGAAAAAAGTGTTTTTCACACCCAGAGACTGATTCAAAGTTACAGAATTCTCGAGGCTCCCTTGCTGTACCTCCGGGACCCCAGTTTCTGTGTGGTACACCAGCATTAGCGGCAAGCGGGACTTGGGAAAGACTCTCGATGCTCCCTCGAGCAAGTGTGTGGTGCCCCTTCTGTCTTCTCCCACACCTGGGGGCTGAGGGGGCGAGGGTGGGGAAAGGCCCATGTTGCAAAAGGAGCCTCTCTCTGCCGTCAGGTGGCACAGGGCCCCACAGGGCTGGTCTGGCCTTCAGATAAGTGCACAGTGGGCTGTTAGAAGTTATCTTTGTCTGTGAAGGAACATG